ATGCTATGCTGCATGAGTATGTCTAATCCATGATTTTGTCTCTGGAACGAAAGAGTGGCCGTGACTGTATATAAGGCTGTAGGAAGCGTATGATAAACGTGCCTGGAATATAAATTAGACAATTGTCGGCAAGGATGTATACCAACGCCTGGTACATGAAAGTAAAAGAAATGTGGTAAGTGGCCAACCAAGTGAGTTCCCCAGCAATACCATGATCGTATGGATGATGAGTGGCATTTGTTGATGATATGACATGTGCTCAGTTGTCTGAGTAACAACGGATTGATGACCCTGACCATGATTTACCCCATGCCACAGCAGCTGCTTTTAGCGGGAAAGGATTGCCCATTTTATGCCATGTAAGTGCCAGTTTGTAGGGTAGATGGTAGCCGTTTACTGTGTTGATGATATTGGTCTTACTTAACGAAGCTTCAACCCCTGCTTGAGTGATAGCTGTAAAGGTAGATCAATGGTGTGTATAGTAAGGAAACTCCTCGGAGGGTATGAGGGAGTTGAGACTTGGGGTAGCGAAGGTGTGTGGTGCCAATAAGTCTATGGTTAGTCTTTGTTTAAGGGAAGATTCCCTTGTGACAATACCAATGCATTTGTGTTTGGTGCCATGCTGTAAATGGTGGAGATTGGAAAACCCAAGTAAAAACCCCTCTGCAAATCTTGGCTATGAGTGTGTTTACAGCCGACGGTTCTGTTGTGCTGACTGTAAGTGAGGGCATGCTATATTCCTTGAGAGTTTATTTATGATACCTGTATGGGAGCCCTTTGAAGCTCCAGAGCCTTAGTAACTCTACTACAAGTCTGGAAGGGTGATGAGTCAGTAGTGTTGAAAATGCATTGGTGTGTACAGATGGAGAGTACGTTATTTGTAAGTTGTATTGGGACACATGGTTTGTCATGTGCCCTGAATGATTTGAACATATATGCAACAGTCTATATGCAATGCAACTACTAATTCCAATTGTCTATGGTAGTTCAGAGGTGCTGGTACCTGGAGCCTGAGAGTGCTCACCCGTTTGTTTGGGAGAAAATCCCTTCTGTATGGGTACCTGCACAAATAAGCATCTCTACATATTCCAAATGCCAACACAACCAAGGGATGGTCAGTTCCCGATTTACCTAGAATCCCTGGGTCTGACCATCATAGATACATCATCATACATATATATGCCTTGTTTCCCCAATGTGCCGGGATCATATGTGCAGGGTTAACGTCTTGTACCAAGTAACCGAGTTTCGGTTGGTGCTGGTTGTACAGTAGCGTGAGGCCCAGCCTTGTGAGGGCTGTGACTGACTCGAAATTGCCAGTCTGTCGTAAATTTTTTGGCTCATGAGTTTATGAGTGAGGCTAGCATGGCCTGGGTGTCACCTGAGTTGGTGTTGCTGGGCCTTCCCCTGCCTCCGTGTTGTCCATTGATGTATGGAGGAGTTTGAATAACTCTGCTTTCCTTGCTGTGGCAGGGTAGGGGATTTGTCGCCTCCTTAGGTCGGAGCCACATCTCCTCTGCTTGAAGGTGTATCACTTCTAGCCGGGGTGCCAGGAAGAGGTGATTCTTCACCATCTTTTTGAGAAATACTTAAATAACAATAAAGATTGCAATTATTATTTGTACCCAGGGGTCTTGTACTGGCTTGCTAGCTAAGCCGTAAGGCGAAACGATTAGGCTTGGTGTTTTTTGGTGACTGGTGAGGGAAATTTTTTTTTTTTTTGTGGCCACCGAACGTTGTGGCAGGATGTTGGCCTCTCGGTGACAGTAACCAGAAAATAGGAGGGGAGTGACAGGTGAGGCCCTCTCTATGATACAATGCGAGGCGGCTAGCTCACGAGTGGCCCGAGGGGTGTATGCCTCCGAGTGTGAGGCGGGGTGTTGGCCTCGCGGGACCACTAACCGAAGCGTAAAGCAGAGAAAACAGGGGGTAATACCTATTGGGCCATAGAACCCTAATTGCCAGTACATTACTACTATTCCAGGGAAGGTAAGAGATGAAGGTGTATCACTTCTAGCCGGGGTGCTAGGAAGAGGTGATTCTTACCATCTTTTTGAGAAATACTTAAATAACAATAAAGATTGCAATTATATATTTGTACCCAGGGGTCTTGTACCGGCTTGCTAGCTAAGCCGTAAGGCGAAACGATTAGGCTTGGTGGTTTTTTGTTTTTTTTTGGTGACTGGTGAGGCCCTGATAGTTGCCAAGTGGCTCGAGAGGCTCTATCTATGCTTGGCGCGAGGGGATTTTGTGTGGCCACCTAACGTTGTGGCAGGATGTTGGCCTCTCGGTGACAGTAACCAGAAAAATAGGAAGGGGAGTGACAGGTGAGGCCCTCTCTATGATACAATGTGAGGCGGCTAGCTCACGAGTGGCCCGAGGGGTGTATGCCTCCGAGTGTGAGGCGGGGTGTTGGCCTCGCGGGACCACTAACCGAAGCATAATGCAGAGAAAAAAGGGGGTAATACCTATTGGGCCCTAGAACCCTAATTGCCGGTACACTATTACTATTCCAGGGAAGGTAAGAGATGGATAACTACGTGAGCAGGTGTACGTACCTGGTAGTATGGTATTGAACCTGACCATCCTTATAGGTTTTTTAGTAGTAACTGTAACCTGAATGGATAAAATCGTATGGCATAAGGAAATATGGCATAGACCAAGCTTATCTTAAAACATACAGTATATGTGAAAGTACCGTGATATGTAAATATTAAACATCATTTCCATACTGGTTAAATATGTATCAATCTTAACCCATTAAGTGCCGTATGTATGTGAACCATATTACCAGTTACGTATATACAGATGCGTGTGCTACTGTGTAATAATATGTGTATTTATAACAGATATTGATATACTGCTTGCTATGTGAATTGTTGTATGCCTTATTGAATGGCAAGTGAACATGGAGTTGCAAAATGCAAGTGCACTGGAGATCTGCTGAGTGCCCTATAGGTGGCAGTGTAGTTGATACTGATTGGTATGTGAAATGTTGTTTGTCTGTTGACCTATAGGGGTCAGTGTTTTGGTGTTTGTAAAACCCCATGAAAAACCCCATGAAAATTGTCAATGTACTTGACAGACCTGTAGGTGGCAGTGTTGATAGAACCACTGTTAGTCTTAATGTGAAATGTAAATTATTGTGAATTAAACCTGAAGTTGAGCCCGTGTTGGAGTTTAATTCATGGTTTATGGTTATGTTTAAAACAATCTTATGTGTAATTTATATTGGCTGGTAATTGTATATGACATGTGAAGACAGTTTTGCTGTTGACCAGTAGGGGTCAGAAATGCTGATTGTATGGTAAAATACCCTTTAACCCCTGAAGGATACATGACATGTGTGACATATCATTTATTCCAGAGTTTGGTCCTTAAGGGGTTAATCCAAATGCAAGGTTAACGTGAGATTTTGAGAGTGACCTGTAGGGGTCAGTGTGGTTTATGTGAAACATTGTTTGTGAGCTATGCCCCAGCATTATAGTTGTGAAACAAACAGTGCCCGTTTGACAATATACAATAAGTGAACATAATAGCTTAATAACAATCATTGTAACAAACCAAAGTTCTGTTCACGGGTTGTAAACACACGAAACGTGTGTGTAGTACAATAGTAAATGCATGAACTAGTACCCGTTTGGTAGAAAATTGCACGAACCGTGAGCCTGGTATGTCAGGGAAACAAAACGAAACGAGCAGTGAGATTCGAAATGCACGCACAGAATTGCCTAGTATGTTTAGGCAATTGAAACAGAATGTGTTCCCTTTTGGGAGTATGCTAATGCTCGAAATGAGCCAGTGACAGATATAAACAAGTGAGTTTAAACGAATGATATGCATGAACATGCAATGGTTTTAGGACAGATTTAGACCAAATGCAGCCGTAAAGTGAGGACCTGACCCGTGCATGGTGCCGTGGGACTGATGCCTGGCGTAACGGGTAGGTCGACTTACGGTTTGAGAGTCACTTGGACACCATCCACAGCAATAGATTGAAGAAAGAAGGTGGTAGGCCGGAAAAGCCTGTGGCTGAATTCCTGACACAGCTCAGCTTAGAAAACCTCATGGAGTAATCAGGTAAAATGGCGTCTGGATGACCCGGAAGTGGAAATCATTCTGATGCTGACCTCAAGCGATATGAGTCAGGTAAGGGGTGTCCCTTATATAGGGGAGTGAATTAATTTAAGCCCCTCCCACAAATACAGGCCAAATGGCCTTAAAATATATATATATATATATATATATATATATATATACACATATATACATACACACACACACACACACACACACACACATATATATATATATATATATATATACACACATACATATACATACATACATATATATATATAGTGTGCGTGTGTATATACACATACACAAATAATAGGTTTACAATCCACTCAGTAACGGTGCATTGTATTCCCTGCCACTGTGATAGAGTTTGAAAAAGTATTCAGGCCTAAAGCAGCACCTCACAAAAATCGATGTTTTGGGTATTCACTAAAGGAAGAGATATTTGGCACTTTGAGACACTTTTGGGACTTGCCACATGATGCAGGCTCATGCTATGTAAGGGCTTCCACAGGAAAGGTTTTATTGTTTTATTTTTGGAGGGGGAGGACTATTTTCACTCCACTATAACTTTGAAGTCCCTCTGATCTTGATCAAAACAAAAGTATTACACAATGTAATTGTATGCATGATACATATGCACACAGTGTATTTTATGGGTTGGAATTTACTGTGCAACTTTATAATTTTAATTACACTGGTATGTGTTTGCAGAAATATGTTCTGACAATTGAGTTAGGTAGAAGACTTCTGCTCTTAATGGGAGCTTAATATATTACGACAGGCATACTTTAAATAATCCATAACTTTATTAACTTAACAGTTTTCCTCGTTCAACTATTATACTGTAATTATTCATCATTTTGTGATAAAGCAGGGCTGATGAATATCCTAAGGCTCCTTAAATCAAACCAAAAAACCCACATGATTTTGAAAAGTTATTGAAAATAAAAACACGTACAAGGAACGAAAGAATTATTGGCATTTATTACCTGTGCACAGGAGAAAGAACTATTGATAAAAACTCAAGATAAATTGGTTTTTACAATGTGGTTAAAAATAATTAGAATATCACATGACACTTTCAAACCCTGAAGTTATGGTGAAAGTTAGGCCACACAGAGCGTCACCTCTGGTCAAACACAAAGAGGTTTCAGTTACTTCAGAAGCAGGAAGGTTGCGGGACAGTGCAAAGTGTAACTTGGTATTATGCCAAAATAAACACGTAAGTCACACTGAAAGGGCTGATTAAAATCCATCAATGAAGAACAGAACATTCTCGTCAACCGACGCCGCTAGATTTATGTAAAATCTACATGAACTGATGGACTTTTAGTAAAAGACGCTGTTACATTTGTCTGTGTGACTATATTTCTCTTACAAAGTCTTGCGGTTACACAATATTTTTCTAAATGAACGTTTGTATGCAGGGTGTGCTCTCAAGACTACTTTCAATATACTGCTGCAAAATTAGTGAATCATTTTAATTTACTATCTTTTTAAATTTACCTGGCGGGGCAGGGAGATAAAGGGCCTTCTGAACTGACAAAAAGGAAAAAAAAAAAAGATAAGCAGAATGAATATTACAGCATTGCGCTAGCAAAAATACATGCCAAAGTCACAAAAAGCGATAATGTATCACTAATTATAACCTTATGTTTTTCCTGTGACTGTGTAGTTTGGTATCTACATAAATTACTACAGAGAGGCTATTGATTTAAAAAGAAATCCTGTTAGGCATCTGAAAGGTTAAATAAGATCGGTTAACCCAATTGCAGCGTCTATTTTAAAATCACAAGCAATGCAGCAGGGAATGGGGAGAAAGTGGTGTCTGATGCATGCAACACTGTCAAATGAAAAGCTTTGATTCCCACTGTTTCAGATAAACTACGGCACTTCATCCCAACGTAATTTTATGGGGCTTTAGTTTGTAATGATAAGGAATTCCTTGAGTCAAACTGAAATAAAGCAGGTGTATTATTGAGACTTAAGAGCCATTATCAAAAATAAATTACATTTTGTTTCTGGTTGGAAAGGATTGCTATGATGGTTGAGAGCCCAGTAGTCGTTCGATAGCAGCATTGATGTCTCCTCCAGTTGCTATTAAAGCCTGTAAGTTAGCTTCCCGGTTTAGGAATCCCATTGCACTGAGCTGATCCAATTGCTGTTGAAATCTTACTTCTGGATTCTGAATCTGGGCAGAATTAAATAATAAAAAGAACATAACATAAAATCATATGTTGTAGCATACAAAAAATGAGAAAACAGAATGCACTTGTGAGATTAAAAAAACTGAACACAATTTACATTAGGTATGGTCAATATTTTAGTGTTGGAGTCTGGCAAGCTTACTACTCAGATGTTTCAGTTTTGACAATAAGAAAGTGTTGTTAAAATGTTCACGATGAAGAACCACCTCAACATTTGAAGGATAAGCCCCCATATTATTAAAAGACCATGAAGTGGTCTGGGTGCAGTGGTACTTTGGTTTTAATCCTGCAATGTAAAACATTGCAAATTGTAAGAAACTGCGATGTTTACATTGCAGGGTTAAGTCCAAGTCTTAGTGACTGTGTTCCTGACAGGCAAAAAAGAGGCGCTACCGCAGAAGCCCCCGAAAGAAAGCATTGAATTAACTTATGCAGTTTTACATCTAGGGACAGTGGCAGTAAAGAGTTCATGCTAATCTAAAAGATGGGTCTGGTGGTGCCTAAATGCATTTCCATCCCAAGTTATTATTTTATTATTTATATAGCGCCATCAGATTCCTCAGCGCTGTACAAAGGGTTCCATGTAACCCAAGTGCACATCTGGGCTTGAATTCTGACACTTGTTTCTTTAACAGAATAATCTTATTTATCTTGGGAGAATTTCAAGAAAAGCTATAGCATTAGGAATACAAACATTTCTTCCTAATGCCACCAAGTAAAAAAAAAAAAAAAAAGGTTTTACCTTACCTTATTCCAGTTATGCATCAATTCTTTATCTTCTTGTCCAATCCAGTGCTCCTCGCAGAGCAGCACTGGTGAAGGAGAAGTACATGCATGGCGAGTGCTGTGCCCCTCCAACTGAATGCTCTCAATGAGAAGCATTTAGAAGAAGTGAGGTGTGAGAACAGGCTGAATGACTCCACAGGGGAAGCACCTCAAATGGCTGTTAAGAAGACAGCCACAAGAGGTGTATTTAGTCCTGCAATAGAAAAATTGCTGTATGTACTTTACAGCAATGTCTTACACGGTTTGGTTAAAATGACAGGGGCACTGCTCCCAGACCACTTCATTGAGATGAAGTGGTCTTGGTGCCTTTAAAAAGTCACTCTAAGCACCATCAAAACTTTGAAAAATTGCATAAATAATACTGCTAATGGCATTCTGAAAGTTGCAAGTTGTAAAAATGCTCAGTTCCAGATGCTTTATATTAATATTGGTCTGCTGGATCAGAGCACAAAGTCTGGTCCACTAAAACAGTGGTCTGGGCTGTGTGTAAACTGATAACAAATGTGATATGGTTGCTATCAGTTTGGAGAGAGAAGCTGCTGGGGGATAAACTACTTGCTCTAATGTAAAGAGTTGCAGATTTAGTTGGCACTGTATAACTAATAATAATATTAACCTGTTAAATAATAATTTATGGGATACAAACTGACACCCAATAGACAAGAATAAAAACCCCTGGTGTTGGAAGGGGTGGGTCTTTAGTTTGTAGATACAAGCAGAATCACTAAATTTTAAAGTTACATATTTTTGAATTATTAATGCACTATCTGTAGAATACATTAATACTATAGGGGTTTGCTTACCGATATAGTTTTAGTTTCAATATGAAAGTACAAACTGAAATGCAAGAGTGATACTTTGCAACTACACTATTCTGTATCTAAACAGCACATATAAGGAAAGAAACAGCACTAAAAGTTTCCAGATCATTTATCATTTTTATGTGAGTATATATGAAATATTGGACAGAAAAGGCATTTATCTTTTCATACCTGAGAGTTAGCACCAGAAAGGGCCTGTAGCATTTGCTGGATAAACTGCTGGTGCCCTGGTTCAGATAATCCAGACAGAGTACTTGTGTTTTCAGGGGGCACTGGATTTGGAACGGCTGTTGGTGCTACTGGGACTGTGTTCCCCAAACCTCCAAACCCAGGATTAACACTACAAGCACAAAGAAAACATTAAACAAAAAATTACACCCTTTTTGAACTATATGGTTACATATTATGACATAACAAATCATCTTTTCCTTAGCAGGTCTTACAATTAGGCAAATACAACCACGGATGACCACCACCACAATATATTACACCCTGTCATGATTTAACAAAAAATAAAATAAAATAAAAGCCTCCGTCACATACGCTGGTTGGGCATATGGACAATATCAAACAAGAACCGTTAATCATTAATATCCAAAATTATATTGCAACATGGACACTGGAATCCATGTTGTTCACTTATCCAGTAAAGTAGATGTGAAAGTAAGTTAATCTTATAACAAAGAGGTCTGCTTGCTAGGAAAAATTACGTGCTTAAGTCTGCCTGTTCTGTTAAGATAATTTTATAACATATATGCGATTAGATGCCTTAGGTGTCTGCGTGCACATATGTCACAAAAAGCTGAGAATAAGCGTAGGTAGCTGTCAGAATTAAAGTGTGTGCGTGGAGATTACAGGATGAAAGGTAGAGGACAGCCTCTTATTTAAAAGATGGACAAGTACACTAAAAAAAAAAAAAAAAATAATTAAAAAAAGCTTGAGTGAAAACATGGCTTAACTATTCAGTTTACCCTGGTATAAGTGACGGAGCCTCTGTTGCCAAAGTCTGCAACCCCTGCTGAATCTGCAGCAAAGCCTGCATTGCTCGTGGGTTTGACATTGCTGATAATGTGTCAGGATTCTGCATCTGCAAGATCAAGCACACTGTAGATTATCTTCATAGAGGAAGAAGTCGGAACAGTAAAGTAAACAGAAAGCTACATTAAGAGCTAAACTCATTCTAGATTACTAGCTTCACAAATTCAAAATTGGTAGAGGCAAGTTAAACATTCCCATTTGCAAGTACCAGACAAATTCAATAAACCTAGAAACAGTGCCAGACCATTTCTGAACTGGCTCAAATTAGAATCTATATAAATGTGTCCATTTCGGGCCAGAAATGCAAATGAATGATTTAAGACAGTATTATTTATAGTGAAAAAATGAAAAAAGGCTGTGTATAGGTGCTTCCCCCTATTGCGTGGAGGGAGTCACTACACAGCAGTCAGAGATAGTGGTACCAGCTCCACTCCAGGGCTTCAACCCAATATATAACCAAAAATAATATAATTCCTAAGAGTCTCTAAATTAAAGTGACTCTAAACCTGATTTTGATACAAAGTCCATAGTAAGTAAAATAACAAGTGATGGTAGTAAATCTGAAAACTATGCTTGGAATGTACATAGATTGAAGATAATAATAGACCCAACCATTATATATTTCCTCAAAATGCCTTATAAAATTAAAAAAAGGAAAAAGGAAATGAGGGTAATCAATTTATTGAAAAATAAAGGCACTATATAACTGAAATAATGGTTGGATCAAGAGGATATACTGATCATCTATATATGTAGATACACTGCCAAATCTATTTATACGTTACTGACCTGTATATAGCAAGGGGAGTCTAATCCCTAACAGAGAATAAATAATTCAATACTTGGATCAACAGATCTAAACATTTAAAAGGTAATACATTTGAAAGCAGTGAATTAAACATATATATATGCATAGAGGACAGGATAGAGAGGTGTAGTCAATCATTCACCTAATCTTATATTGATTCCCATGTAGAAGGGCAGGTTCTCTTCTAATACCTGACTTTAAATTAGGGAGTGGAGAAAAAGGAAACCACTAAGTTTGTTAGCCCTAGGTAGTTGAAAGCAACACCTTGATGGGTGTTGTAATCTGTCCCTAGAGGCTAAAAAGTGATAAAGCCTCCTAAAACAAAAAGATTCTCCTCAAAAGCTTAGCTTCAGCATTAGAGAGTAAAGAGAAAAAGCCACTGAGCTATTCTACCCTAAATAGCTTAGACAAACACCTTCATGGGTGTTCTAAACTGCCCCTCAAGGCTAAAGATAAAGCCTATCAGTATATTATTTGTAAAAAAATAAAAAATAAAAGTAAGACACTCCAAGCAAAAGTAAAACAAAGAAGTGGTGAAAAAGTGCTAAACACCTAGTGCTCCCATCTTAAATAGAGTGACCTAATCGAAAACCCGACGCGCGTTTCGTTGCATATAGTTGCACCTTCGTCAGGGGATAAAAGTGACTATGTGGCTACTCACCACTTTTAAAAGCCCCACTGACCAACCGGCGCTCGTTCTTAATTACCTTCACAATCACTCGCCGGTGTGCCGGGGAGGACGGTAGAGGCCTGGTTTTGATTGGTTGAGGAGTTGTATGGGACGCCCATAGGGGTGGAGATAAACTGATGACGAACCCGGAAGCCTCATGCCTCTACCGTCCTCCCCGGCACACCGGCGAGTGATTGTGAAGGTAATTAAGAACGAGCGCCGGTTGGTCAGTGGGGCTTTTAAAAGTGGGGAGTAGCCACATAGTCACTTTTATCCCCTGACGAAGGTGCAACTATATGCACCGAAACGCGCGTCGGGTTTTCGATTAGGTCACTCTATTTAAGATGGGAGCACTAGGTGTTTAGCACTTTTTCACCACTTCTTTGTTTTACTTTTGCTTGGAGTGTCTTACTTTTATTTTTTACAAATGATATACTGATAGGCTTTATCTTTAGCCTTGAGGGACAGTTTAGAACACCCATGAAGGTGTTTGTCTAAGCTATTTAGGGTAGAATAGCTCAGTGGCTTTTTCTCTTTACTCTCTAATGCTGAAGCTAGGCTTTTGAGGAGAATCTTTTTGTTTTAGGAGGCTTTATCACTTTTTAGCCTCTAGGGACAGATTACAACACCCATCAAGGTGTTGCTTTCAACTACCTAGGGCTAACAAACTTAGTGGTTTCCTTTTTCTCCACTCCCTAATTTAAAGTCAGGTATTAGAAGAGAACCTGCCGTTCTACATGGGAATCAATATAAGATTAGGTGAATGATTGACTACACCTCTCTATCCTGTCCTCTATGCATATATATATGTTTAATTCACTGCTTTCAAATGTATTACCTTTTAAATGTTTAGATCTGTTGATCCAAGTATTGAATTATTTATTCTCTGTTAGGGATTAGACTCCCCTTGCTATATACAGATCAGTAACGTCTAAATAGATTTGGCAGTGTATCTACATATATAGATGATCAGTATATCCTCTTGATCCAACCATTATTTCAGTTATATAGTGCCTTTATTTTTCAATAAATTGATTACCCTCATTTCCTTTTTTAATTTTAAGGAAATATATAATGGTTGGGTCTATTATTATCTTCAATCTATGTACATTCCAAGCATAGTTTTCAGATTTACTACCATCACTTGTTATTTTACTTACTATGGACTTTGTATCAAAACCAGGTTTAGAGTCACTTTAATTTAGAGACTCTTAGAAATTATATTATTTTTAATATTATTTATAGCCATTTATATAGCACCAACCGATTCCGCAATGATTTACAAATATTATAAAATGGGAGAAATTAATAATAAATGAGACAATTACAAAATGTTACGTGACAAATAGGTTGATAATGACCCTACAATATATGAAAATTGTTTACTGACAAATTCTCACACAATTCTCTGACACCATTATCAAACAATAAATACACATTTGTATATTTTACTCAATCTGTGAAGGTAGAAAAATGCTCATTTAACCCTCAAACTGCCACCTATGGTGTAATTTATATTTGTGATTTTAACCAAGGATGCTTGTTTAATTGGGTATATTTTGCTTTTTTGTCACTATATGCAAAAAGCAGATTGCCAGAACCCTCCAATATGTGCCTGTGAATGCACCAATTTGAGATCAATCCTTTTTTGAATGGAGTCTTAATTGTGTACTTTGCATGAAATATAAAGAGAGGTCAGTTAAGAAAACACTGATTTGCTATGTCTAGAATTAGCACATTAAGAAAGAAAGAAAGAAATCTGAAAACAGCAATTTAAAGGAACACTCCAAGCAATATAACAACTACAGAGTGCCAAAGGTGTTATGGTGCCAGGAGTGCCCTGCCTGCTTTAGTGAAAGATGGAAGCTCTCTGCTTGAGCTGAGCTTGTTAGCCAACGATCCAGCCATTGAGTGGACCCTGCACAGCAGGTCTTCGCTCAGGAGACCTTATGGAAGCTCCAAGCAGGAGTTTCTGACTCTGAAAAATTAAGAGAAAATTTGAGAGAGCCTGGCAAACCATAGGCAAGAAGTCAAACGTTCTAAAAGTAACGTTCCTTTTAATGGTCAATTAAAGGACATTTTCTAAATTCTGCAATTTGGAGCTTAATGAATATGCTTACTAGAAACTGCTAAAGTAATCAGTGAAATTAACATACAGATATATTAGATACAGAAATATCTAAATACTGATATTTAGTCAACTTTTGTCCAGTTAACACCACACTTACTTGCTGTAGGAAAGTTGGTAGCTGCTGTCTCATTTGGTCTTGCAGTTGAGGATTTCCAGCAAAAAGGGGATTATTTTGCATCATCTGAAAAGACGTTATTTAGTTTTCAACAGAAATAGCAGAAAATCTTACTTGCCAGTTTTATGCAGATATATACCATCACCACAGGAGAAAAATAAAAATAAATCTTAATTGTATTTTACTACGTGTGCGTCTCAGACTAGTAACTGTAAAACTGTTACTATACTGAATACTTAAATAAAATTGACATTTCCGTTAAATCCTTGTAAACCTTTTCAAAGTTACATATACACCATTTCTCATCCTATAACATTGAGCAAACCCCTCCCCATCACTGTACCAGTTATATCCACTATCCCCCCTCACTATAAGCTACTATGCATTAATACTAAACAGTGCTAGCCTATGCACCAGGGACATGATGTCACATTACATCAGATTGCAAGCAGTGCTGAACTGTGTAGACTAGTAATTGTTAATAAAGCTCACTGTGACATAGCTTTTTACCACCAGCAGTAGCTCTGGTCCATTAAGAAACAATTGTCTGCTTTATTCTATCTGGTAGCTGCATGTGATAAGTAGTGATAGATGCTTGACCTTCCCATCCAGGTAACTTTGTCAGGGGTCAATTTCCATTCACCCACGGCACAAGGGACCACAGAAAGACCAAATTTTACTTACTGTAAATGTATTTTTCCTTAGGATTAGAGGCAGTGCAAACAACAAAAGAGATATCCACCAACACTGGACAGGAAGGCAGGCAACTAGATAAATTAAAAAGTTAAGCTCCTCCTCCCAACAAAGTAAAAAACCTTACACGGGGTGAACTTTGTCAGCGAGCTTGAACAGATGCTAGCACGACACTGCTAAATTCAGCCAGATACAGGGGCCATCCAACTCTACTTGACTTCACATTTCCCGCTGCATCTATAGATGTCATCATATCAGAATGAAGACACTGATACATCCACTCTGTCCCTATAGAAAACTTACCAAACATGGCGCGAAATTCTCAAAATCCCCAACCCGGCGCAATGGCTGAGTTGGGACATAGGCAAGATGCTGCAAGAGCAAACACAGCCCAAGATGGCTGCCGGGTAGAGCCCGATCAGGCCAGCCAGCTCAGACCCAGCTGAGTGACTTGTGCTGTAATCCTCTCTTGAAACTAGTCCGGAGGACCTAGCTCCACTGGACTCTCTTGCGGCAAGTACATCTGCTACTAAACAGGACCTTCAGACCCTTTTGTATGACATCCAAAAGTTGCTGGTGGCAGCACCAGCTGTGAACAAAACAGAGCTGAGGAATTGTCTCCCTACCTACAGCACCTCCTAGCATCTGTCCTACCTCCTCAGCTGGCTAAGAAGATTATCAGAGATGGAGCTTACTCACTGCCTGGCCCGACCGAACACTCAAATACTATACTACGCAAGGTTATAATTCACTTCATCTCTTCCCAGTATGAAAGGCAAATTCTGTCAGTGCTGCAAGACAAAACATCTCACTTGAAGTTACAGTTTCCTTTCTATCAGGACTTAACCAGGCCAGCCCTACAATGGTGTAGGTCCCTCAGTTGCGCTCAGCCTGAGTTGGCTACAGGTGAGGAGCACCTATATCACCTTCTGCAGCCCTCTCTGTTAGGGGTACCCTAATCTGTCAATTATGTTGACCAGGGTCTGTCAGTACCTTAGTCCTCCTGAACTGCATAACTACCAGTTTTCTTAAACTCTTGTAGAGCATTCTAATCGTCAGCACATACTTCTAGATTTTCACTTTAGCACACAGGCGCATGCACGGCAATAGACCTCCCCATAGGCAAAACTTTAATAATAATTCTGGCGACGCTGGAGGTCCTCATGCATAGCGTGAGGATGTCCATCGTTGTTTAGACTACCAAAAGTCGTCTAAGAAGCCAAAGGTCATTCTAGTGGCTGTCTGGCCACTAAAATAGGATTTAACCATGCAAAGTAATTATTGCGGTTTATAAAAACTGCAATAATTACACTTGCAGGGTTAAGGGTGATGGGAGTTGGCATCCAGACCACTTCAATTGGCTGAAGTGGTCTGGGTGCCTACAGTGCCCCCTTAACCCCTTAATGACAACTTCTGGAATAAAAGGGAATCATGACGGAATATTTCCGTCATGTGTCCTTAAGGGGTTAATAAATAGGGAGGGAAATACATGCACTGCCTCAAGCCCTTAAGTAAAAGATTATGGCAAGTACAATGTGGTATTTTCCCTCCAGATTAGAGGCAGCGCACACAACAGCAGAGATAAACAAGCAATCCCTGAGGGTGGGCAAACTATTTCACCACAGCTGGAAGCACCTTAAACCCAAATACTGTCTCCTCAGAGGCATTTGTTAGACATGTAATTTGTAATACTTGGAGAAGGTGTAAATGGAGGACGCCCAAGATGTAGCACTTGCTTTGGTGGAATGAGCAATCAAATGAAGAGGAGGAGTAACACAAGAAGATTTGTAAGCTAGAGTTTTGGCTTCTTTAATCTACCTAGCTAAGGATCCCTCGGACCCCATTAGACCTTTCTTTTGGCCTTGACAGATAACAAAAAGCCACTCAGAATCAAGAAATTGTGCTCCCACCATTCTGTCAGAACCCTCAACACTTGAAAGAAAATGAATATCATTGCCTGGAAGATTAAACACATATTTTCCTAGATGTGCCCTGCTGCCTGCAGCTGATGCATCCATGGTGATGCCAGTGGAGGTTCAAACCCTCATCAGCAGATTCAGGGGAGGTTTCTCTGTTCCATTCTGTAAATGTTGCGTTCTTGCCCTGGCCCAGTTGACAATCGAAATTGTGGAGGTAAAAGACCCACCAGCCTCACGACTTTTATAGTGCAGAATTTCTGTTTCTTGAGCCATAATTTATCTGACAATATTCGCTTTTTCTGTTGGGAGATTAATTTTGATACAAACAGAGTCTATGATTAACCCAAACATGTAATACTTCTGGTGTAAACCAGCTCTGTTTCTTCTAGGTTTAAAATTCATCTGTGTGATTTTAGGCAAATCGAGGCGGCTTCTATATTTTGTAGTTTTTTCTCTTGAGGAAGTTGTGACGAGCAAGTGTGGAACAACATGGAGACCTTCTTTCCCTTATAAAAAAAAATAAAATAAACTGTGATGACCACTAGTAATTAGGAAAAACTGGAACTGAACTGGTAATGCAGGAGAATGTCTTTTTCTTGTCCTTAATGAACTCAGCCAATTTCCTTTCTGAATCATGTGAGCGGCTGATTGGATGGTTTCCATGAAGGAATTTGCTCCGCTTGATGACACAATTTACTTCTTTTAGGTCTAGATAGGCCTGAAAGACCTGTCTGGTTTTTGAACCAAAATGTTTTGAACAGGTTACTGACAAATATTCAGTGGGAAGAACATTTTCTATGACTTCTGTCCTTAGAAGAATGTGTACTTCTGTAAACAGGGCTGTAGCCGAGAGAATGAACAGTCAAACAGACATTTTCGTGGAGAAAGGATGTTCAACCCTACTTGGTATCCTCTTCTTATAATAGAAAGGACCCAACTGCCTGTGGTAGTTTATCCCTAGTGTAGTGAATGCCATTTCAATTAAAACATTTCGAACTTGCAATGTTCTTATTTATTTATTTCAATTCTTTATTCGTGTAGGCTACAAATAGGCCAGCAATGCCCCAACAGCTGTTGCTAGCTTTACATTCAACATTAGAAAACATTTGTCGGCATCCATTAACATAGCACATTTTATATTTTAAAAGTACATTATACAAGACATATTTAAGAGAGATCAGCCAGTGAGCCCCTTGTGGGTGTGGTAAGAGTGTGAGTCAGTTTGGTGGTACCCACGACAGGGTCTTGCCTCCTTCCCCTTGACTGTGTGTGCAGTGTATTAAAGTTGGTTGTTAAAGTTGGTTCCCCTGAAGGAGGGGGGGGGGAGGAGGGTGTGGTGAGCGAGAGTGATTACTGGGTTATGTGGAATGTTTGGCAGCCCTTACTAAGTGCTAATACTTCCTCTCTTTATGCATTTGTAGTGCTCGTGTTTATGAAACTGCTTGGGTGGTCGCATACTAGGCTATTAGGCTTTGCAGGTTAATTAGGGTTGCTCAACAAGCAGAGCGAAAATAATAAAAAAAAATAAAAGAAAATAACATATATTTAAAAATGAAACATTTTCTAACTGTGGTAGACACGGTGTGTAGAGATGATGGTATACAAAGTCCCCTTGGGCGGTTCAACCTCCGCTCCCTCAAGTGGGTGGTCTGTTAGGTGAGACTAGTTGTTTGCCTCTCGGGGTAAATTCCGTAATGGTAGCCGGGTTTAGCCTGGACAGTCCTGTTCCCGTCGGCAGTAAGGCTCGCCAGATGCCCGTTGATTGGAGGTGCGCTTCCAGCTCCTGGTATCCCTGTGCTCTGTGGGTAGTCCCGTTGTGTGTGAATATGACAACTCGTGGTGTTCCCCATTTGAATGGAATTTCTTTGGCACGGAGGTGTTGCAGTGATTTCCGCCATGGGAGGGTGCTCCTGGTGAGGTCTGGGAAGACTGTGATGGAGGAACCCTCGAATGGTATAGGAGGTTTCCCTCGCAGTTCCGCTAGGAGTGAGGCTTTGTCTGACAGGGTTTGAAATCTGAGGACGAGGTAGGCTGTTGCTGATGCCGGCGCTCTAGCTGGCTTCGGTAGCCGGAACATACCATCTAGCTTCAGAGATTTCACCTGCTTTGGTGGGAGCAAGCCTCCGATTAAGCGCCATATGTAGTGGGGTAGGTCAGCGATGTCGACCAAGTCCGGGATCCCCCTGACCTTTAGGTTGTATCGCCTCCTTTGATCCTCTATAGCGTCCAGCCTGTCTGATGTGGTTAGTTGTTGCTGTGCTAGGTCTGCTACCTGCTGTTCCACCTTGCTGATTCTGGTATCGTGGTTGCTCGAGCAGGCCTCAAATTGTGAGATTTTTGTTGCGGCCCCTTCAATGGCCTCTTTATAGCAGGCCATGTCAGTCGCTAGGTCTTTGCGGAGATCCGCCAGCATCATTTTAATTTGGTCTGCAGTGACCGGGTCCCCGGCTTTCTGCGGTGCCGTTTTGCGGTCTGGAGTGGGCTCAAAGGGTGTTCCGTCTAGGAGGTCTGATGCAAACTCCTCCGAGGAGTAGGAGGTGAGGTCGTCGGCCAGCGCCATCTTGGACCATGCGGCCTGTTATGAGTTCCGCAGCATGTCTCCGATATCCCTCCCATGGGAGCTTCTGTCCGCTTTTACTTTTTTCGTTTTGCTGCCCATAGTGTGTCCGCCAGCTGTTGTGAGGTTTGTGAGGTCTTTGAGCCCCGGATTCCACCATAAAAAGCCTTGTTAAGGTATGTAAGAGCCGGAGCTCCGAGATATGCGATCGCTCCGTTGCCCTGCTGGCTCCGCTCCCCCTTATTTTTTATGGCTGTTACCATTGGTTTCCCTATAAATGAATTGTATTGTCATCCATCTGAAAATCTGAAGGCATTTTAATTCAAAGAATCTTCCTTGGAATCTTCCATATACACCTTTTCTAGGGAAACTAGACAAATACGTTGAGCTTTAGGACCTGAAGATCATGAAATAAAAGCTTTACTTTGAGCAGAAAAAGTGGCATATAATTTAGGTAAAGTTGATCCAGCCTTCTTATCTATTGCATTCTGCAGTTCACTGGAATCTCCAATGGGAAAGGTGGTCCTTTTTCCCCAACTGTGCAATCGGAGCTTGACAAAGGCGTATGGCATCGCCGAAAAGAGTGTTGAGGTTAGTTTCCCGTTACTGCGGACGTTTTTATTAGGACCACCGTTATTTATTTTTTCCTCCCTTTCAAGGGGGTTATACTGGGGACTATTATTATTTTCACTGAGTATCTCATCAATATGATTACAGTCAGTCTGGTCATTCCTTTTACGATTAATCTAGGGAAATCCTATACCCCAAATCTCCAATAGCACTATAATAGTAAGGATTGATCCAAGGCTTACTCACCCTTACTAGTTAGCATTTGAATGTAAGCTTTATCCACCCTCACAAATATCCGCTGAACTATAGAGCACTAGCTCTTCATTTGGGGGAAAGGGTGTTTTTTTTTTTTGGTTGTTCTAGTCGCCTAGATGGATTCTGACACTACAGTCATTGCTTTAGGCTCCTGACGAATTTGGCAACTTGTTATCATACCAATAGACCACTACCCATATTTTGGCTCCCTTATTATGTATAAAAATCTCCACAGCGGTACATATCACTGAGTGAGTTATCCTTTTTAGCTTACTATATATTGCTACATGTAGATACCAGCTTACGGTATCATTACTTACTGGGGTATTATAATTGGGGAAGAATCTATCAACTTTGAATTTATCATTGCTAGCTTCCCGGTTGATTTAACATTCAATCTGGGGCTTGCTGCTACTCACTTTTCCCTTTGTTTGTAAATACCTATCTATCATCCCCATGGTGTATATATAGGTTTTGACTTTTATACGGGCAATTAGATATAATCTCTACTTTAAGTCACTTTTGACTTTACCGAATATCATACTCTCCCTTCCCATAACTAAGCATTAACCAATATAGCCCACTGACTAAAGGACCACTATAGTGCCAGGAAAACATACTCGTTTTCCAGGCACTATATTGCCCTGGATCCACAGTCAGAGAAGCTGCCCAGAGAAAAAAAAACAAACTAAAAACAATGAGTTCCTACCTTACCTGCCAAAGACCTGGGATTTGAGGAAGGTTTTATAGTATCTGGGGAGGGATATGAGGAGTTTAACTTTTAAATCTATCAAGTTGCCTCTGACTTCATGTCAAGTGCTGGTGAATATCCCTGTTTGTACGGCATCAAATCTGGAGGAAAATATTGACTTACTGTATTCCTAAAAGTGCCTGTTACTGAAAACGAATTAAAAAAAAAACCAAAAAAAAAAAAAAACCATACCTGTGCTGCAAGTTCGGGGTTCTGACTAAGAGACTGCATCATGCTTCTCATGTATGGAGCGGACAACATATTCTGCATTAGTTGAGGATTTTCAGTGATTTGTTGCATCAAGCTCTGCATACCTGGAGAATTGAACATACCACCTTCAAAACAAAAAGGTGAAGATGCATTGTTTTTACAAAAGATTAAAAAAAAAACCAAAAAAAAAAACTAACAATTATTTATTTCAGCAACCAAATGTATACAGCCTAAATATTTTATCCAAAACATTGACTGACTGCTCCTAAACCATCATTTCCTCCCCCCAATTTAATAAACTAAACATCTAGTAGTTGAAGCTTTTAAAGTATTGTCTGTTTAAAAAAATACCGTAAAAAGACTTATGTGCTCCCTGAATCAAGAGTATAATGTTTGACTGTGTTTGGCTTCAGGTGCCAACAAAAAACAACAACCAGTAGATAATGATGAGAATAATTGATTAAGCTGGCATTGTACCCTAGCTTAGTGTCATATGCACCAAGCAGAACAAAAATGGCTCTGTACATATTGTATATGGTTTTACAAAAGTAACACTTTTATTAAAAAATGTTTATACTCTGCACGCAATTGCATTTCAAACTGTACTTTATTTTCATCATACCTCCAACGCCTGAGGCCAAATTTGGCAATGTAGAACTAGGTGTAGAGGTGGTGCCACTGTTAGTGCCAGTATTTGTGGAAGGACTATTTCCTCCACCTGTAGTGGATGGAGAACCTGCAGCATTGGATTGAGGTGCCCATGGGTTAGGTAGTGGATCTCTGTTTTCTGTACGTGAAGGCTGGTTTCCGGCATTTGGCGCTGCATTGCTCACAAGAGAAGCAAAGGGATTGCCTCCAAACTGGAATGAAAAAAATAAATAAATAAATAAAAAAAAATTAAAAAAAAAAGGGGTTTTGCTCTTTATTTAGAACAATATTGAGACCTACTTTTTGCAGTCCTGTTTACATACATGCACATCCTTGTCTAGTAACATATTGTTCCATCTGTGAAACCATTTCTGACTCAATTTTTTTGTTTCTGAATGTTAACTAGAACCATTTAATTACAATTAAAAAAAAATTAAAAAACTAAAAAGATTGTTCCAAAAATTCATAGAAACAGTGAGTGATCTGATAAGCTCCTTCAGAAATATTTGCATATTTGACATTACTGAATATTGGAGTAATGCAACTAAATATAAAAGAATGCATCAAACACTTATTTTCCAACACTAGCTAGATAACAGGTCCCAACAGATGACCTTTGTTCTGTAAGTGTAATCTTTCTTTCAAAACTTTTAAAAACACACACAAAAAAAAAAAAAGCATTTAAAGGGCAGCAGAGTACACATACTATTTCCTTATTTTACTGGTGCCTTGCAAATCATTCTTGTTAATTTGAATCCTATGTTCCCAAGTTGATCTATGTAGCATGTACGGCTTTCTATTTGTCCTTGGTGCTAAAAAGGAATGAAATCTAATGTTCCTTTTTGTAAACTACAGGTAATAAAGTTGAATCACAGTTATGAATCCTATATATAGCAAAGTTTTTCAATTTTCTAAATAGTTTCATTAGTCCCTGGCCTTATCTGATAAGTTAGGATAGCCTTATGCCTATCCCACACATGCTTAAACTCCTTTACTGTGTTAACCTCTACCACTTCAGCTGGAAGGCTATTCCATGCATCCTCTCAGTCAAGTAAAAGTTTCCTGATATTTTTAAACCTTTGCCCCTCTAATTTAAGACTATGTCCTATTGTTGTGGTAGTTTTTCTTCTTTTAAATATAGTCTCCTTTACTGTGTTGATTCCCTTTATGTATTTAAATGTTTTTATCACATCCCCAGTCTCTTCTTTCCAAGCTATACATGTTAAGATCCTTTAACCTTTCCTTGTAGGTTTTATCATGCAATCCATGCACCAGTTTAGTCTCTAAAGTATCAGTACAATACTCCAAGTGAGGTCTCACCACTGTTCTGTACAATGGCATGAGCACTTCCCTCTTTCTACTGCTAATACCTCTCCCTAAACAAACATTCTGCTAGCATTTCTTGCTACTCTATTACATTGTCTGCCTACCTTTAAGTCATCTGAAATAATCACCCCTAAATACCTTTCCTCAGATGTTGAGGTTAGGACTCTCTCAAATATTCTGTACTCTGCCCTTGGTTTTTACATCCAAGATGCATTATCTTGCACTTATCCACATTAAATGTCAGCTGCCACAATTCTGACAATTTTTCTGGTTTACCTAAATCATTTGCCATTTGGATTATCCCTCCTGGAACACCAACCCTGTTACATATCTTAGTATCATCAGCAAAAAGACATACCTTACCATTAAGACCTTTTGCAATATCACTAATAAAAATATTACAGAGAATGGGTCCAAGTACAGATCCCTGGGGTACCCCACTGGTGACAAGCCCATGCTTCGAATATACTCCAATGACTACAACCCTCTGTTGCATATCACTCAGCCACTGCCTTACTCATTCAACAATATTGGAATCCAAACTTAAATATTGCAGTTTATTGATAAGCCTTCTATGTGCAACAGTGTCAAAAGCCTTACTGAAATCTAGGTAAGCAATGTCAACTGCATCACCTTGATCTATCATTTTAGTTACATAATCAAAAAAAAAAAAATCAATAAGATTAGTTTGGCCCATTAGTAAACCCATGTTGTCTCTGATCTTGAAATCCATTTTAGATGTTCAACAATCCTATCCTTTAACATGGTTTCCATTACTTTCCCCACTACTGAAGTAAGGCTTACTGGCCTATAGTTGCCCGACTCCTCCCTACTACCTTTCTTGTGAATGGGCACAACATTCGCTAGCTTCCAATCTTCTGGGACTACTCCTGTTAACAATGATTGGTTAAATAAATCTGTTAATGGTTTTGCTATTACACCACTAAGCTCTTTTAATAACTTTGGGTGTATTCCATGTCCAATTGACTTATTTGTCTTTACGTTTGACAGTTAAAATAGAACCTCTTCCTCTGTAAACTTTCAAATAACAAATGACTCATTTGTTCTTTTTCCTAACTGAGGCACCTTTCCTTCATTTCCATCTGTAAATATAAAAGTATGACACCGAAGACATTATGGAAGTTCCGGATTATCCAGAAGAGGTTCTATTTATATACATGTCTAGACCTTCTTTCCTGATGATTAGTGATGTCCCGAACGGTTCGCCGCGGACGGCGAACATAAACATAAACTTTGACCCTGTACCTCACAGTCAACAGACACATTCCAGCCAATCAGCAGCAGACTCTCCCTCCCAGACCCTCCCACCTCCTGGACAGCATCCATTTTACATTCATTGTGAAGCTGCATTCTTAGTGAGCTGTCCAGGAGGTGGGAGGGTCTGCTGCTGATTGTTTATGTTCGCCGTCCGCGGCGAACCGTTCGGGACATCACTACCGGGGATTGCTAGTTCAGAAGAAAGGTGGCCCTGCAGACAGCCTCCATTTAAATTTCAACAATACTCCATATTTCTGTAAAGCAAGAGACCAGAGAAGTACAACACCTGCTCTTGGGCAGCATTCAGCATTGGCTCCTGGATGTCCGTATACATTCTCCGTAATGCATTGTAGCCTCCAGGAATACTTTCAAGATTGCTCAATGCTCTATCTTGGTTTCTCATCATTTCTTGCATCATCGCTGGATTACGAGCAAGTTCTAAGGTCTAAAAAAGGGGGGGTGGGGGGGAGAAAGTGACAAGTTCAATTGCTATTGCATTTCACAAAGACAGAGTTCTGTGTTTTACACACAAAAATGCCAGTAAAGTTAAATAACTGTAAGGTAGATGTGCACAACCCATTGATAAATGCTTCTAAAATTATAGACAAAATAAAGTGTAAGAAAATAAATAAATATCTCAATTCACTTGCAAGTGACTAATATCCATTTTGTCTTGAACTTTAGTAAAAATTGTGATTTGTAAATCTTCCAAATCCTATACTTTGTATAGTGTTTGGATACAGAAGCAATGATTTTTATCGAGAAACCGAATACATGCAGGCGATTACTGCAAATATACTCGACCCAATTGGTATTGCCATTCCGGTTGGAATTTGTCGATCCGGAGAAAATCCGGTCGCTTAGTGAATAACCCTGTAAAAAATTACTTTGGAATAAATGAGAGCAAACTAGCAAGTTTTTTTTTTTTTTCTGGGTAAATTAAACCAAGGGTTGAGCAAATTTAATTTTGATTACACTTAAAGCATGTCTTTAAATAAAATATCTAAAGTAATTTCTTCATGTTAACCATTGCTGGTCTTCCAACTGAATGGATTTTTGTTTGTATTTTAATGAGATCCAGAACCTTTAAGCCTGAATACATTACAACAGTATAAATGTTTACACAGACATAGGGCACATATTGAAAGAGCTTCGTTGAATATAAAGTTAGTTGAATAGAATGTGAATATAATATGTACCTGTCTCATTATATCTGGATTATTAAGCATGTGACTGATTTCAGGATTTCTTTGGATTAATTGTTGCATTTGAGGATTTGCCATAATTAATTGCCTCATTAAGTCAGGATTAGAGAGCATGCTCTGAACAAACGGGTTCTCCATGATCTGAACCATCATCTCTGGGTTGGACATGAGTTGCCTTTGCATTTGACTTTGCAGCTCCGAGAAGTTTGAAGCATTCATGCCCAGGCTGCTGAGGCCTGCCAGTCCTCCGAGGCCTCCTATGGTGGATAAAATACACACAAAAAAACTAGTTTTACAATGCAGTCAATAATTAATGGCATACAGTCATGAAACCACTTGCACTGGACATCTCAAATGAATATTAATGAAAAGGACTACTAGGAATTACTACTAGGAATGCTGTATTATTTTTGACATTTAAGTTATTTAGAGCAGAAGATTTGTTTAGGTGGCAAAAAAAAAAAAAGGTGCAAAAGTTATTTTTGAGCGTTCTATCCAACAGTGAGGACTCATAATGTATGCCTGGTCAGGGTATTACCTAAACCAAATGGAGCACTCGTGGTAGATGTTGTAGTGGCAGTGCTACTTGGTGTAGTAGATGTGGTTTCTGGGCTGCTGGGGCTGTTTGACTGTGAAGCTGCTGCAGCTGTAGACCTAGAGTGAAGTACAAAAAGATTTCATGAACAACAGTGTTCCCTATGTATATGTATATTTTGAACAGAAGAAAAAGTGTTAAAAAAAAAAAAAGTTATTTTTAAATACCTGTTCTGTGTTTTAATAACAAGATGAACTGTAAGCCCATCATGGATTCCATGCTGACTGAGAGTGTCCTGATCCTTTAAAATCTTCCCAGCAAATATCAAAACAAGCTGGTCTGTGTTTGTCTTAAAGCGCTTTGATATGTCTTCTTTGAACTGAGAAACCAAAAGTTGTTGTAAGACAGATGCAAATGAAACCCGCAACATCTATTATCATTTAAAGGAACACTACAAAGAAAACACCAAAATCTAGGTTAACAAGAAGCAGAAAAATAAACCTGCAAACATGGTTTTATTAATTTAGAAGGGAAAAATAAACAAAAAAAACAAAACATTTGTACAGGGCAAAGGAGCCTACCAATTGGTCCATTATTTCATGTGAGGGGCTTTCATTCAGTGTTTGAATGAAAGGTCATTAATAGCAGCAGCATGCGGCTCTGCACATTTCCCACAAACTCTTGTTCAGTAGCCTTCATAGGCTGATGTCAAAGCCAGTACCAGAAAGTGCCACTTAGGCATTTTATATTTACCTCCTCTGTACACCTCACTCACCATGTAAATGCTTTAATAGCATTTACAGGGGTGAATAAAATAGAGAAATGTTGCCACTGGGTCATGGTTCCTCTAAAGGGACGCTATAGTCACCAGAACAACTACAGCTTAATGTAGTTGTTCTGGTGAGTATAATCATTGCCTTCAGGCATTTTCATGTAAACACTGCCTTTTCAGTGTTTACATTGCCCCTAGGGACACCTCCAAGTGGTCACTCCTCAGCCAGCCACTGGAGGTGCTTCCTGGCTCAGTGCTGCACAGTAGGTAGCTCTGCATGAGGACATGGAAATTTCCTCATAGAGATGCATTGATTCAGGTGATTTCCCAAAACTGTGTTTGGCCCTGCCCCCTTTAGCCAATACAATGCTTTCCCTGTGGGGAATCGGCAATGCTGAGGAGGTCACCAAAGGTGCGGGGCCAGCGCGGCAAACCCGTAGAGAGCTGAAAATAAGGTGAGTTTTAACCCCTTCTGAGACAACCCAATGGTGGGTTTTGCACTATAGGGTTAGGAATACATGTTTGTGTTCCTGACCCTATAGTGTTCCTTTAACATCTCTGGAAACATCTGTTTATCTGTATATACAGTCATACTGTTTTAAATATAACCTTGTAGCAGGGTTTTTCTCATTCATGGTTTATAAGGAAGAGGTCAACTGTGGAACTGCAGCAAACAACAAATCCTGTTTAAAGATAGTTGCCGAGTCAGGGGCAGTCAAAAAACTACATTCGAGTTAACTCAGTTCTACTTGCTGCTGCTTAATCTAAATATTGAGTCTAAGAAAAAATAAAAATAAAAAGTATTCGTCCTGAAAACTATTTCTAAACAAATTCTGAGTACTTCTCAACTACTTTCACAGCATTTACATTTGTACTGGTTACTGCTGTTTTGTATTGTGATATTCTAATACAATGTATGTTACAAAAATAGAGTGAGAAATTAGAATAGCAAACCATATAGTCACAATGGTTAGTTAACATTGAACAAAATGAATGTAGAATGTGGAGTCATCTGCCAATTATATAACATCTGTCTATGTAAATGGCATAATAACCATCCACAGAATTCCAGCTTATGAACGATTGACTATTACTCAAGGCACAGCAGCACAACTCTAACAAATGAAAATTGACATATATAGTATTGATGATCAACTTTCATACATACTTTCATTAATTTTACTTATTTTTCAACAACTATACTTTCTGGTCTTTTTCTAGTGCCATGATATCCTTCTTTAGAACAGATGCCCAAAATTGCACAGCATATTCAAGGTGTGGTCTTACCAGCGACTTATAAAGAGGCAAAATTATATTTTCATCCCGAGAATTTATGCCCCTATTTATACACGACAAAACCTTACTGGCCTTAGCCAATATGTATGTCCTGGGTCCACAAAACACTGCTTTGTTCAAATAGGGTACAATATTACTAAAAAGAATTATATATTTAACACATAATGGGTAATATAGTCAACTATGTTAAGCTTGGGTAGAGAGAACTAGCCCTAAAAAGTGGAGAAAATGGTAAGGATTGAGGATGAAGAAAAAGATCTCAACTAGTATAAATAGCCCCCCATAAAGCCATAAAAGAAAATGGCAAAAAGCTGTAGGTGGTAAGCCCTACACGTACCAGGAGATCTAATAAGGAGAATGAAGGATACAGAATAGAAGTATAGTTAATAGAAAAAAAAAATATATAAATATGGAAAGAACATAGATTTATATAGAAATATAGATAAGGGCAGCAGTAAGGATAAAAGTATAGATCGAGAGAGAAATCAGGAGGAATGTATAAGAGACTATGAGAAATGGTGGTGTGAATAACGATGGAGATAAACTGAAACAGGGGAATTACAAAAATATGGACAGAAAACTGCTCAAAATAGATGTAACACCATAGAAGTAACTTTAGAAAAGAGCAGCTGCAATCTCCCTGCTCTTCTCTATTGGCCCCTTCTGTGATGTCAGGATATGATGTCACGCTTGCCCCGGCATCGCTAAACAGCGTACGAGTAAGCAGAGCAAGAAGATTACAGGATCATGGCAGCTCCACTAGACCCCAGAAAAAGGATTAATTTTAGCTATCCCAAAGGTGAGGGTCTGGGTGGACATTAATTAAAATAAAACAATTAATTTGTGAGTGTTTGTGTGTGTCAGTAAGTGTGAGTATAGGTACTTTAATTCTAAACTACATTCATTATATACAGAAGTTAAATGCCCATGACGTTTGGTTCTAGTTTTCTTTATGTGCAAATTTAAAGGAACACTATAGTGACACTATAGTTTAAATATTTAGGCGACTGCCCCTTCTCTGATCGCATTGGAAAGCTGTTTTTACTCATGTTTATTTCCACTCATGTTTATTTCCATGCCATGCCGGTCTCACCCCAGCTGGCCTTGCCTCCAGGGCTGAGATCATCAATCTTGATGATCTCAGGCAACACAATGCTTTCCCATAGGAAAACATTTGGAGTCTATTGCATATGTGGGGCAAAACATTGTGCTGCGCCAATATGCCACCCTACACCAATCAGCATCTCCTCATAGAGATGCATTGAAGCCTTTTGGATGTAGGTACCACACACTATGCAGCACTGGATAAAGTAGCACCTCTAGTGGCCCTTTGAGTGACTTTCACTAGAAGTGTTACTAGGCAGCAATGTAAACACTGCCTTTCCAAAGACAGGCTATAGACACCAGGACAACTATATCAAGCTGAAGCGCTTCTGGTGACTATAGAGTTCATTTAAGATGTTAGTTTTGTTGTTGAAAATAAAGCTTTGTTAGTTTACAAAAAAAAAAAAAAAAAAAATCCTGCCACCTAACTTTTTTAGCTGGCTCCAAGATTCAAAGCAATTTTGTCAAGCCCTGCGATAAAAATTAATTAAAGTACAAAAACAGCTTTAAAAAAAAACAAAAAAAAAAACACAGTTTCCCCAGATAAAAACCACATCTGAACTAAGCGGCTTTGTGCGCTGGAACTCCCTGTGCCCTCAGATAATAAAGTGTTAAACAGCTGTTGAAGTAAATCGTAAACACAGGCTGAGAGCCCAGTTAGAGAGATATCAGTGACCAACCACTGCAAGTAACAGTAATGATAAAAGGCAACAAGTAGCCAGTGTTATGCTGAGGGGGTCACCCAGCCAATACTCGGACATCCAAACAATGTTAGAGTGTTTCTTTAACAATCTATTTGTGTACTTGAGGCATTTATAACATGGGACACAACAAATAAAACAAAGGAACTAAGGGTACATTTCCATCATGCTTTCTAAATACTTAAAGGGACGCTATAGGCACCAAAATAACTTTAGCTTAATTAAGTAGTTTTAATGTATGGATCATGCCCCTGCAGTCTCACTGCTCAATTCTCTGCCATTTAGCAGCTAAATCACTTTATTCATACAGCTCTAGTCACACCTCCATTTATGTGACTTACACAGTCTTCATAAACACATCCTAAGACTGTAAAGAGACATCTAATGTTTACACTTCCTTTGTTACACATTCTGTTTAATTTAGAATATCATATCCCCTGCTCTGTTAATAGCCTTCTAGACCCTGCAGGAGCCTACTGTGTGTGATTAAAATTCAATTTACAAAGCAGGAGATAAAACCTTTTAAACTGGGGGGTGGAGCCTGAGCTACGAACCGAGCAGACGCATTGGGGAACAGGCTCCCGGCAAAATGGCAGAATTCTCGCGTAAATCCCAACAAAAAGAGCCTGCACTCACATCAAAGGGAACTACCTCAGTTCGGGGAGCCCTGATGAACCTTCAGATACCTGCCTGACGGGCTGGTGCACAACCGGTATCTGTAATGGCCCATCGCGACATGCGGAAGATGGCGCCGGGGAGAGATGGCCGCTCTCCTCTGGCTAACTTCGGCGATGCAGCACTACTTAGCTCCTCCCCCTCCCCCCCCAACCAACCCTATGTACCGGTGGGAGGCAACCCAGGAAAATCAGGCCCAGAGGGTGAAGAAAAGCATGCAGATTACCAACACAGATGAACACAAAATGGCGGATGCCAAGTTTAGCCCTGCCAGCCACAGCCAGAAATCAGACTTCAAAGCTAAACTGGACACTATATTTGCAGCATTTTGGAGAAAACTGGCAGAGTGAGCACAACGAGCTGCAGAGCACAAACCAGGTACCCACTCAACTAGGGCACCACCCTCACCACCTATCAACAGGCATTAGGGGTCCACAAAGGGCCCAAAAATGGCGGCGCCCGAAGCAACGACTCAAGCCTGAATGCGTCCACGCGGCTTGGGCCGGATGGCACCAAGCACCGGCGACTTCTGTCCTGCTCTGACTTCACTCACTTGCAGAGGCTGGAATTGCAGCTACACGGAAGCATATGCCGTGAATCATCTGTGGCTCGGAAATCTGTATGGCGATCCCTGACAAGGGCACAGAACCAGCCCTTACACTAAGCGGTGACCACTTGTCTTGTACCAGACAAGTTCAAGAGCCTGAACATGGAACTACTGATATCCCCCAGAGGGGCACTGGATGACTTAGAAGTTCTCCCACTGGAACTCATGTTTGCCTTACCTGGGAGGCCTCCTAGGCATTAGCTACACTACACAAGTTTGCATTAAACATGCCAATCTTTATTATTTTTCTTATGCTACTCACATAAAAGTACTTGGGTTATTCTAGTTTCTCATTTTCACGTTAATGATGAGACCTGTCTACTGTTTTGTCTTATTTCTCATACGACTATTATTATTATTATTATTAATAATTTGCCTATGACCGCCTTAATCATAGATCTAACTTACTGTTATCAAGCAGGTCCTAAGATGTATGCCTATGTTTCCAGTCTGTTGTCTCTAAAATATAATACTTCATCTCGGAGCATCAAAAGTAACGTTAAGCTTGTAGACATAATTATAAAAAAAAAAAAAAAAAAAATGTGCAACCTCTCATGCCACTGTAAATTCTGTTTACATATAGGTACGCTGTTGTGGCGTTTGAAGCTAAAATGTACCTACCTGCACAAAAAAACCTTTTAAACCAACTTAATATCTAAATGAAAATGAAACTATTCATTTTCCATGCAAGCTGTGCTAGTCACAGCTAAGGGTGGTGTGGCTAGGACTGTATAAACAGAAACAAAAGTAAAATGGCAGATAATTGAGCAGTGAGACTTTATAGACATAATTTATACACTAAAACTACTTAAGCTAAAGTTGTTTGGTTCCTACATTATCCCTTTAGAATTGGAGATGTGTAGTTTTGTTCATACACACCGAACAAGGGAAATAATTTAACAAAAAAAAAAAAAAACCTACAAAAAAATTGACCATCATACCAGAAACAGGTTTGTTTGTTATTTTTTTTTAATAAATACTCATTTATGCCCAGGTGAGTCCACTGGTGAAAACATATAAACATAGCTGAGGGGTTGATTACAGCCCCTTGAATATCAATCCATTTGGTGTAAATGTTACAAAACCATAATAATCAACTCTACCATTTATATAATGACAAAAAGATTCCCAATACAAAAGATTCTGATAGTCCTACCTATAAGTCCTGCAATCTAAAATCACTAAAAAGTTATAAGAAATTCTCCAGAAATTTTTAAACCGTGAAAAGTAAACAACTCATAATGTAAAGGATGATATATACACGAGTCCGAGCTCAGTTAAATTAATCATATAACATTTTATTTTTTTTATATTCACAAATACATTGCGCTGGGGATCTACCGGTGTCCTGCCATAAAATACATGTCAATGCAGTATATGCATGTTAGCTTCAGGAGCTTTGCTGTGGACTACTATTACTCCTATAACAACCACATTTGTGGTCTTCACTTTAAAGGGAAACAATAGTGCTAGGAATACAAAGTTGTATTTCTAGCACTATAATACCCTCTGCTCCCCACCACTCGCTGCAGCAAAGAAAGGGTTAAAAACCCTATTGTCCCTTAACTGATTCCAGCACCAATGACCCTTGGCGCTGAGTCAAGCACTGCCTTTGCTCCTCCTACCCAGACATTGGCGGACCTCATGCGCATGCAAAGCGAGCACCACCATCGCATTAGGACTACCCCATAGGAAAGCATTGAATCAATGCTGTCCTGTGGAGAATTAGCTGATGCTGGATGTCCTCATGCAAAGTGTGTGGACATCCAGTGTCAGTTAGGCAACCAAAAGTCACAACGATCCAGAAGCGCCTCTAGTGGTCTAGTTTATTAATAGCTGCAATATTTCGAATTGGAGGGTTAAACTAACAGAGGCACTGTACCAAGGCCACTTCAATGAGCTTAAGTGGTCTGGGTGCCTATTGAGACACCAATGCAAAAACAGCCAACTTTTGGATTTCCATATGTTCTGGATCACATTCCCAATGATGGTCAGCCTGCAAACTGTAGGGACACAGTTCCCTTGAGCCGTGATGGCTTAACTGGAATGCCACAGAACAGGGAAAGGCAAAGGTCCATATTTTTTAGAACTACACCTCCCATTAAGAGGGGAAAAGCATCAAAGGAGGTGTAGTTCTACAACAGCTGGGGATCCGCCTTAGTCCACCAGTATCATGGACGTTAGATCAGTTAGCCAATGCATCTCTAGTGCTCTAGATATGAGTAAGCTTACAAGGCCTCTCTCTCTCTCAACTCACCTCTCTTATGCTGCTGTTTTCAGGCACAGCAAACTCTTCTTTCTCCTTTGGGGTTTTCACTGTGACTTTGATGATCCCAGCTTGATCTGATGTGCTAGCGGAGGTGGAAGAGGGGGGATCCGACATGGCTCCAGTGATAGGATATCTAGAGCGGGAGGAAAGAGAGCAAGTTGAATACAGATACCCGGTGTGTGAGGCTGCGCTCTCTTAAAGTGTTATCAGTGAGTAGGATAGTTTAATGGGTGCCAAGAGTCAACCAATTTGTCTGTATAATGCAGGGCTGTCTGGCAACGTCTTTGTATAATGTAGGGCTGTCTATTAGGGTCTTTGTATAATGCAAAGTTGCCTGTCAGTGTCTCTGTATGATGGATGTGATGCTGGTCTGTTGGTCAGGGCCACTTCACGATGGATGCTAGGCAGGACTGTTGGTCAGAACCACTGCATGATGGATGCTACGCAGGACTGTTTGTCAGGATTGTTCATGGGTGTAATACCTGGCTGTCGATGAGTGTCTCTGTAAAAGAACGGTAATAAAGGTTGGTTAGGGTCTCTGAATATAAGGGGTAAGCCTGAGATGTTGGTCAGATTCTTTGTAACTGGTGTAATGCAGTGCTATTGGCCAGCCACAGTCTCAATAAAACATGTAATGCTGTAAAGCCTGGGATATTGGTCAGGGTCCCTGTATATGTCTAATGCTGGGCTGTCTTGTCCGGATCTCTGTATAATACCACCCTGTCAGCTAGAATTTCTTGATAAAATGCTTGGTTGTTATGTGTTTCTGTATAATGGGTGTTCTGCTGTGATATTGGCAATGGTTGCTATATAATGCTAGGCTATCTGCCACTAGGTCAGAATCTCTGGATATAATGCCAGTCAGGGTCTCTGTATAATGGGGTATAATGCTGTGTTATTGGCTGGTCTCTGTATAGTGGGGTGTAATGCTGTAATAATGGGGTGTAATGCTGTGATAATGGGGTGTAATGCTGTGATAGTGGGGTGTAATGCTGTGATAGTGGGGTGTAATGCTGTAATAGTGGGGTGTAATGCTGTAATAGTGGGGTGTAATGCCGTAATAGTGGGGTGTAATGCTGTATGTTATCGGGCGGTGCTGGCGCAGCTCGGGCCGCACTAACGGCGCTTCCTCATACCGCAGCGTCTCTGACGTCACAGGTACCGGCCGCCGTGCAGCTCCCTGGGACAGCTAACCTGACGCTCCGGGCGGTCTCGGCTGCCTCGCGCTCTCAGTCACAGCGGGCTGAGCGGGGTTCACTGGACTCGGTATCACAACGTGAGGTCACAGGAACGTCTTCTGCGTGCCGAGCCCTGGGATGATTGCCCCGACAATGGCGCCTTCTGATGACGTGATAACGTGTCATAGAACCTGCTAGAACGATGGACAAAGTTCTATGAGCGCCGAGCTGCGCCTTGCCAGCAGAGAGCGCCTGGCCGTGAATGTCGCCATAGCAGGGCTCGGCCGCCATGTTTCTGGTTGGGAGCTGCCAGGATGACTGAGCATTGTCTCATGGCAGCGAGACACACCCCACCCGAAATAAACAAAACACGGTTTTCATTGGTTCAGAGACATACAACAAAGTTACATGGAACTCTGTCTGAAGAAAGAGACAGCTTGAACATTATTTTGTCAAGATAAAAAGGAGAAGCAGAATTCAGTGAATATAAATATTTTAGACATAAGGATATTCTAGCAACCAGGAAGTAAGAAATAAATTCAATTCAGCAGGAAATAAAATAATATACAGTAGAACTTGAAACTAAAACAATTAAGTCTCCCTTATGTTAAGTTCTCTGGACAGCATTTTTTTTTGTGTGTGTGGTCTTAGACACTCCAGGCACCATAACAACTTAATTGGAATGTTCTTAAGGTGTCAAGAAGTTCTTGGCGGCAACCTTTTTTTAAGTGTTACCACAGAGTCTGGTGTCAGGAGTCATTCAGCTTTGTCCCCTCCACATGCGTTTAAGTCTGGGGCTTGAAACCGTAAGCCTCAGACTTTATGCCGCTGAAAGCGTCAACTGACCAAGTTGAGGCTTTCCTTTTCAAGCCTGGAACTGAAACAGATATGGCGGAGGTTGAACTGAAAATTCTGCATTTTTGCGTTAAACCTCCTGGTACCATAGCAACTTCATTCTGATTATGCCTGGGTGTTCCTTTAAGTGAAAAACAAGTATGTGTTGTTTTGTTTGTTAATGTAAGCGCATCTGCCATCTCAACACATGTACTACAGTTCATTGAAAGTCACAGGAAAGTCCCAGCCCATGCAATGAGAAGCCTGTGATTGAAGTATTCCTCAGCAAAGACTCAAAGTCTGTACTGGGGAAAAAGGGGAGATTTTGCAAAAGCTGCAAATGGCAGGTTTCGTGGTTTTTGCAAGCTGTTTTTATATATACAAAAAAAAGAATAAATGCAGAATTAAAGGTAACGGTCACTACAAAACTATTTTTTTAATATAATAATCATTTCATCAAGTATTTGAAGGGACACTATAGTCACCTAAACAACTTTAACTTAAAGGGACACTATAGTCACCCAGACCACTTCAGCTCAATTAAGTGGTCTGGGTGCCAGGTCCTCCAAGTTTTAACCCTTCAGATGTAAACATAGCAGTTTCTGAGAAACTGCTATGTTTACATTGCAGGGCTAATCCAACCTCTAGTGGCTGTCTTCCTGGAATGCGAAATTCGCATCCAGCGTGCAGAACGTCCATAGGAAAGCATTGAGAAATGCTTTTCTATGGAATATTTGAATGCGCGCGTATGCGCATTCCGGAGAGGTCACCAGCGCCGAGGGAGCCTGGCACTGGATAAAGGTAAGTGGCTGAAGGGGGGGGGGGTCCTAAGGATGCTATAGTGTCAGGAAAACTAGTTTGTTTTCCTGACACTATAGTGAGCCTTTAATGAAGCAGTTTTGATATAAAGATCATGCTTTAAAAGTTGCACTGTTCCATTCACTGCCATTTAGGAGTTAAATTGCTTTTGTTTCTGGTTATACAGCCCGACCCACACATTCCCTAGCTGTAACTCAAACAGCCTGCATGAAAAAAAAAAAATGGTTTCATTTTTAATCTGATGTTATTTTACTTTACAAATTTTTATCTCCTGCTCTGTCATTGAACTTTAATCACACACAGGAGCCTCCTGCAGGGTCTAGTAAGCTATTAACAGAGCAGGAGATAAGAAATTATAAATTAAACATAATGTGCAATAAAGGTAGTGTAAACATTAGATGATTATAGTTACAGGATGTGTTTAGGAAGGCTGTGTAAGTCACATGCAGGGAAGTGTGACTAGGGTTGCATAAACTATGGTTCCTATAGACTGTAAGCTTGTTTGAGCAGTGTCGTCTTCGACCTATCATTCCTGTAAGTTTTTTGTAATTGTCATATTTATTGTTAAATCTCCCCTTTTTATAATGATGTAAAGCACTACGGAATCTGTTGGTGCTATATTAATGTCAGTAATAATAATAATAAACAAAGTGATTCAACTCCCAATTGGTAGAGAATTGAGCTGTGAGACTGCAGGGGCATGATCTGTACACCAAACCTACTTAATAAAGCTAAAGTTGTTTTAGTGACTACAGTGTCTTTAAAAATATATATATATTATTTGTTAAAGGACCACTATAGTGCCAGGAAAACAAACTCATTTTCCTGGCACTATAGGGTCTTTAGGTCCCCCCCACCCTCAGGGTCCTACTCCCGCTGGGCTGAAGGGGTTAAAACACTTACCTTTCTCAAGCGCCTAGCTCCCTCGGGCGCTGGGGAACTCTCCTCCCTCTGCCGACGTCAGCTCCGAATGCGCATGTGCTGCAAGAGCCGCCGCATTCAAACAGCCCATAGGAAAGCATTTCTCAATGCTTTCCTACGGACGTCCAGCGTCTTCTTATTGTGATTTTCAGTAAGACAGCCACTAGAGGCTGGATTAGCCCTAGTGTAAACATAGCAGTTTCTCTGGAACTGCTATGTTTACAGCTGCAAGGTTAACACTAGAGGGACCTGGCACCCAAACCACTTCATTAAGCTGAAGTTTGGGTGCCTATAGTGGTCCTGTAAGTTTATGTTAAAAAACAAACAAAAAAAACCCCATTTATCCCTACCTTTAGTATATGACAGGATCCTTCAGCCATATACATGCACCTTTGGTCAGTCAGTCAGTGTCTCTATGATCTTCCCTGCTTCAATATCTGCACAGAAGCAGGAAAGACCATAGAGACTAAGTGTTGTTTTTTAAACACTGTCCAACTCAAAGTGCATGTATATGGCTGAAGGACCCTGTCATTTACTAAAGGCAGGGAGGATTTTTTTTTTCTTCTTCTTTCAAAACTAGAAAAAATTACTATTATATTGAGGTGAAATTAAAGCCATATTTTTCCTGAACAAAAATAATAAGTGTGGGTGCACTTAAAGGAGCACTCCACTGCCACCTAGTTAAAAATAAATAAATCGCTGTTTAGTAGATATACCCCACTGCATACATATAAGTGTAACCCACACATCTCATGTAATTCTACGTATATATTTATGTAGTAATTTAACATAATTAGGTCATTTTATTAATTACAATTTGCGGGACCTGCCTGACAACCCAGTCCGAAAGTCCAGGGAATTTAATTTGCTAGCACTATATTTAACCCTGTAACTTTCCAAGACACCATAAAACCTGTACACGAGGGGTACTATTTTACTCAGAAGACTTCAGTGAACACAAATATTAGTGTTTCAAAACAGTAAAATGTATTACAACAATATCATCAGTGAAAGTGACATTTTTTGCAATTTTCACGCACACAAATGGCACTTACATGGACGATATAATTGTTGTGAAACGTTTTACTGTTTTGAAAACACTAATCTTTGTGCTCAGTGAAGTCTTCCGAGTTCAAATTAGTTTTTTGCATTTTTTACACACAAACAAATATTAAAACTAAGTTTGGCCAGTGTTTGTGTCCAAGTGGCTAAAAAAGACTGGACATACCCCAATTGCAATACCTTGGGTTGTCTACTATTGCAAATGGTATGCCATCATGGGGGTAATTCTCATTCCCATTGTGCAGCACTGACCCAAGAAGTACCTCTATTTGCTATCTGAGTGACTAAAGGTGTTCCTAAGCAGCAATGTAAGCACTGCTTATTCTCTAAAAAAGCAGTGTTTACATTAAAAAGCTTGCAGCGACAGGCTATAGACACCGGAACCACTACATTAAGTATTAGTTGTTCTGGTAACTTTGATGTCCCTTTAATAAAAAATAAAAAAAAATCTATTTTTTTTCAAAATTTGACAAAAGGATCACTATATTATAAAATAATTTGTCCATTAAGTTATGGTAATACCTTAATAGACATTAACTGGAATGCAACAAATAATGAATCTCAAAAAGTACAGGAAATAATAGTGTATTTTCTCCTATTTTCGAACGACTTAATACTTAGTGCCCGTCTTGAGCCTGTTCTCTGCTTGGCCACCAAACTGAGCAGAGGAGAGAATCATTAAGTAGCACTGGTTGCCGGCGATTGGCAACTGATATTCTCTCTTACCACCCCATTGTAAATACTGTACGGTACAATCATAGGCACCAAGAACTTTTCAATTCCCACCTATACTCAGTACAGTGGCTGAGCAGAGAAAGGAGAGGACAGAGTGGACAGGTGCCTTGGAGCAGCAAAAACTACTTGCAGTTGTTTTGAGGGAAGAGAGTCCCTTTAATTTATCAATAAGCATTTTAAAAATAGGTAGCAAACTTGTTTGGGGTTTGTTTTTGTTTTGTTTTTTTGCTTTGCATCTTTCTTTTTTTTCAAGCACAAAATGAAAGAGACATAATACATAACCATTTATTGCTATACATTAAAGGTGTGCCATAAGGAAAAAAGCCTGCAGTAGGTTATGTTTCCAGTATGTCGTTAGAGCTCAAGGTCAAACTGCTAGAAAACCGATTGGCAGATAACTGATTGAAATGAGCAATTTTAGAAAGGGGGTTTATAACTTATTTTGTGGTGTTTTACAATTTATAGCTGACATCTAGGTATTCCAAACTTTTGTGGAATGATTTCTAGCAGTTTTTAGTGTGTGTTGTGATGAGGAACTGAGTGACATCACAGAAGGGAGGCGGGGCTGGAGCTGGCTGGCTGATCTAACTGTCATTTTTTAAATGTAATGCTGCTCCTGAAGTTGGATGAGGAGAGTGGTGAAGTACAAGTTAATTTTATTAAGACACGGAGGCTCCTATTATGCTGCCCTCTTTCTTTATTTCTCTCAGCAGCAAAGAAAAACTTTAACAATGGAATCAACACAGGAAACAGTAACATATATCTTCCATGGCAACCAACAGCCAATCAGGTTCCACTCTCCAGCATAATAGGCGGTATTCCCTAAACTATTTACTCTTTCTTTGCTGCTCCCTCAGTTAAGTACACTGATCCCATGGTTTCTTAACTGTGGGATTGATATCTTATATAGTTATAGTATTATTGTCTTATAGTGTGTTCGGGCACGCGTACCATTCGGTACTTTTTGCCGATCGTTGGTTTTCTATAGCTTTTCTGTTTCCTTGTGAACCCATCTCCGGTACTTTTCACAGTTCGTG